GGCAATGCCTGGAGTTGGACGGCTGGGGGATGCGGAGTGCTGGGGAGCAGAGGGGCCGGGGAGGGGCGTGGGAGAGGACCCCAGTTCAGGGCAGGGAACCCTGTCTTTATTTTTCCCTGACAGTGGGTCCGTGTGTCCGTGTCCCGGTGACGGGTGGGTTTATGTGTGTTTGTGGGGGGGGGGGCGGGCCGGTGGGCCTGTGTATACTTCTGCCCCTGGGGACTGCAGGGCCCTGTGGGACCTGGGCTAGCGGTGTGTTGGCACGTGACATTGCCCGTGTGACTGATCCAGGATGCACAAAGTCCCTCCAACCCCAAGCCTCGCCCTCTGGTCCTCCCTCCAGATGTGGTACCCTCCTTAACCAGGAAGAGCCAGGGTCCCTCTGGGGAAAAGAGAAGCGAACAGCTCTGATTCTCTGCAGAAACCCCGGCCAGGTGGGTTTGTCTGCGAGGCCAGTGGAAATCTGACAGGGGAAATGTCCTCAGAGGCCAGGGAGAGGAAGAGGTGGGGGATGGGGGGAAGTGTGGGGGGGGAAGCTGGGCCTGGGGGTTGGTGTGGTAGAAGCTGTGTGGGTGTTTCCAACCATTTGGAAAGTATGACTGCTGGAGGGGAGGGAATTCTGTCCGGGTGCCCCAGTTTGGCAGAAAGGGGACATAAACCAATGAGTCCCCACCCGTCCCTCTGTCCTCCCTACATATATGTACTCCCTTGCCTTCTCTTGGCCCAGCAGGACTTTTCTGGGGCATGGCCGGGATGACTGGGGACACCGTAGCTCCTCGACGAGGACGGCCCTTACGAGGAGGAAGGAGATGATAAAGGGCCCTCTAAGCATCCCAGACCTTGGTGGAGCCTGAACTCAGTTCTTGTCTACACACATTTATTAAACCTGTACGGGCTGGGCGCAGAGCCAGGGACTGGGGAGACAGACCCAGGTTCTGCCCATGCAGGAGGGAGGGGAGGCTGTGCCAGGAGTCCTCACAAGCCTAGCAGACATCCCCGTGTGTCCGGAAAGCCAGCTTGTCAGCCCCTTCTGTAGGAGCCCCTGGTGGGCCGGGTGAGGGCAGGCAGGCCCATGCCGGGAGCGGGCCGGCCCGCGTTCAGTGCTGTGGGGGTGGGCGGTGGGCCGGGAGTGCCCCGGGCTTGTAGAGCTTGTAGGAGCCGCTCTGAGAACACTGTCTGGGATGAGCACGCGTTTCCACTTCAGGGCCCACCAGAGTAGACTACTGGAACCACGGAGGATGCCACGGGGTTCCCAGGGCATGTCCGCTGGCCTCCTCCACAGAGCCGGGCCCCTTGGCCACACGCCTTGCAGACCAGCCCAGGAACAAAACCTGCTGTTGGCCGGGTGCTGGCTGTTGGCCAGGCCACACTCGGTGCCCGCATACCCCTCCTTGCATAGGCTGCAGGACAACCCTGGGAAGTAGAGATTATACACCATCACCACTGGATGTTACAGATGAGGGGACGGAGGCTGGGAGAGGTCCCTGGTCACAGAGATGGTCGGGGGCAGGGCCGGGGTCCAAGCCCACGTGCCGGCCTGCGCAGGGCGCTTCTGCCGTGGCGTGCTCTGCACAGCCAGGGACCCGGTCCTGAGTCCTTGGCCTCGGCTGACAGGGACTCCACGTGGAGCTGCAGGAGCTGGGCCGGCGTGTGAAGAAGCTGGGATGCTGGTGGAGAAGCTGGGATATTTGGGGGGCACAGGTAGAGCAGCCCACGCTGACTTCTCGCCTCTCTGGAAGCTGAAAGGCTGTCAGAAGCTGTTAGAGGATTCGAGACAAAAGGCTTGGCCTGGGAGGAGCACTTGTGGGACTGCGGGCCTAAGACTTGAGCTGCCCCAGGATGGCCAGGCATGGATGGTGGCTCTCCAAGGGGAAGAGGTTGCCTCTGCCGGGGGATGGCTGCCTGCTTGTTGACCCCCCTAGCCCAGATCCAGCCCACGCTGGCCAGGAGGGAGAGGCACGGAGGGCTAGTTCTCTGGTCCTGAAGATGCTGAGGTCACCCCTGCGCCCTAGGACAACTCAGGCCCGTTAGACATGGCAGGGAGAGGCACAGAGAGCCCGGGCACCCCGGCTGCGGGCAGGGGCCACGCGCTGCCTTGGAAAGGACACAGGCGTCAGGGTCCACAGACTTGAACTCCAAGTGTCACTTAGCCCCTACCAGCTGGTGACCTTGGGCAAGTCGCTTAATCATGGTCTGTTCCCTTGACTATAAAATAGGAAGGTCATGGGGCGCCTGGGTGGCTCAGTCATTAAGGGTCTGCCTTCATCTCGGGTCGTGATCCCAGGGTCCTGGGATCGAGCCCCACATCGGGCTCTCTGCTCTGCGGGAAGCCTGCTTCTCCCTCTCCCTGCCACCCCCGCCCCCTGCTTGTGTCAAATAAATAAAATCTTAAAAAAAAAAATAGGAAGGTCATGAGGATTCAATAGGGTAATGGTGATGCTGAGGCCAGGACAGCGCAGTGCTCCACCAGCTCACTGAATTCTCCCAGCGGTCCCATGATGACTGAGGTTATTGTTACGTCCACTGCATGCGTGAGAGCCTGGAGGCTCAGAGAGGCTCAGTGACTTGCCCAAGGTCACCACCTGGCTCCCAGGCTGAAGCAGATAACCACCATGCTGTTCCAGGCCTGCAAATGTAGTTTCTTTCCCTGTCTTCGATGGGAGGAAAGAACTCAAGCTCCAGCCTGAAGGCCCAGAAACAGCTCAATCAAACTCAGTTCCCCAGGACCCTTCCATAGCACCTCAAATCTTGGTAGCACTTTACAGTTTATAGGAACTCCTAACCCAGATGATCTAATGGATCTTTCCCAAAACCCTGTCTTCCCCCATTAACAGATGAGAAAACAGAGGTAAGAGGAACTTAAGCGCCTTCTTCACACAGGTAGGAAATGGTAAATTAGCCTTGAATCCATTCCAGGCCACCACAGTTGCCTTCAGAAGCCTCCAGCAGGGAGGCGCTCTCTCTCTCTCTCTCTCTCAAATAAATAAACAAAATCTTAAAAAAAAGAAGAAGAAGAAGAAGAAGCCTCCAGCAAAGGGGAGCCTGGGTGGCTCAGTCAGCTGAGCGGCTGACTCTTGGTTTCAGCTCGGGTCAGGATCTCCAGGTCCTGGGATCGAGCCCCATGTTGCAACAGGCTCTGCGCTCAGCAGGAGTCTGCTTCTCTCCTTCCTTCTCCCTCTGTCCCTCCCCTGACTCGGGCTTGCGTACTCTATTTCAAACTAATAAACAAACCTTTTAAGAAAAAAAAAAGAACCCTCTGGGAGAAATCACACACTATCTAACCCAAATAGTCATTGTCACCTCAGTGTGTCTGCATGCTTTCCCCTATTCAAAGAACAGGTTTATTTTTTAATTTTTCAAAATTTAGAAATACATGACTAAAAAGTCAAAACGTTCTGCGCAGAATAATTCCAAGTAATTTATGTAGATACTCCACCCCCAAGAAGATGGAATGTAACTCCCCACTCCTTCAGTGTGGGCTTCATGCAATGACTTCTTTCCAAAGAGCACGATGTACAAAGGGGGGAGAAAGAGTGACATCACAGGGAGAAACCTGACAAACACTACTCCAGCCAGGTGAGCAAGGTTCCCTCAACCGTGACGTTCATGGCACGTACCCTTCATCGGGTGGGATGTGATGAGAATGGTGTGTCATCTCTGTGGTCTTCCTCCTGAAAGCCCGTCACTCTGGTCTCATCGTGAGAAAAACATCAGATGAATCCCAATTGAGGGATATTCTACAAAATACCTGATCAGTACTCCTCAAAATCGTCACAGTCATCAGAAACAAGGAAAACCTGAGATCATTGCAGTCAAGGGGAATCTACAAAGACATGACAACTAAGTGTTATGTGGTATTGTGGATGGAATTCTGGACAGAAAAGGGACATTAGGGAAATCTGAATAAAGTTTAGACGTGAGTAATAATAATGTATTTATATTGGTTCACTGATTGTAACACGTGTACTTTACTCACGTTAACAACAGAGGTCACTGAGTGTGGTGTGTATGGGAACTCTGCACCATCTCTACAACTCTTCTGTAGATATAAAACTGCTCTAAAAAATAAAGCTGAGTTTTTAAAAAGTCAAAAGTTTCAAAAAGATATTCAGTGAAAAGTTTCCCTTCTGCCCTTGGTCAAGTTGCTCAGTCATCTTCCCGAGCAAGTGGCCATGTTTCTTCCCAGAGAGGTTCCAGTGAGGCTGCAGGGTTCCAGTGTAGGGCCTGGTCTCCACAACTAGATGGCTGGCTCTCAATCTTGATCTCTGCCAGTTTCTAGCTGTGCGACCCCAGGCAGTTCCTTACCTTCTCTGTGTCCTTTGTCCTCAAAGATATAATCCTCATAGGATTATTGGGAGTGTTAAATGTATTAATGTACACAGTAAGCACCTTATAAAAGGTTGCTTTTATTAATACAAATAAACAAGCAAATGTATTTATGGAGCAAACGTGTTAAGAAAAAATACCCAGGGGTGCCCGGCTGGCTCAGCTGGTGGAGCACGCGACTCTTGATCCCAGGGTTGTGAGTTTGAGCCCCACCTTGGGTGTGACGATTAGTTAAAGATAGAATCTTAAAAAAAACAAAAACAAAACCTGAGGGAAAAGATTGCAAATAAGGCACACACAAAAAATTACTAAGTGCCTTTTCAAGATATTTTTGGCTAATAACCCCACCTATGGGTCATCTAGGGGAAGTAATTTTGTCTGACATACTATTTACTATTGATTACGGCCCAGACTCCATATAAAATTAAGAGGTTAAGCTGTAGAAGATTGATAAATAGCAAATTATTTTTATCTGGCAGAACAAAAAGTGATTTTTTTAAAAAAAAGATTTTATTTATTTTGCTGAGAAAAAGACAGTGAGAGAGGGAACACAAGCAGAAGTGGGAGAGGGAGAAGCAGGCTTCCCGCGGAGCAGGGAGCCCGATGCGGGGCTCGGTCCCAGGACCCTGGGATCATGACCGGAGCCGAAGGCAGACACTTAATGACTGAGCCACCCAGGCGCCCCAAAAGTGATGGTTTTATTGCCGGGTAGGAATTAAACTTTTTTGTACCTACCTTTCCAATCTCATTCAAGCATTCTTCTCTCCACTGTCAGTAATGGTTTTTCCTTTCCCTCCTTCAATCCTTCATTCACTACGTAGTTAAATACATCCTGGTACTCACTATATGTTTGTATTAGTCAAGTTTATCTTGGTGCAAATTTTACTTTGACAAATAGTAGCATGCCATACACGCTGTTCCACTCCTTGATTATTTATGCTTAATACATCTTGAAGATAGTTTCGTATCAGAACATAAAGAGCTTCCTTAATCTTGTTTTACCACTGTATAGAATACATCATATGGATGTACGGTAATCACACCCATAATCAACTTAGCTAGTCCCCTAGCTAAGTTGATGGATGCTTAGGTTGTTTTCACTCTTAACGATTGCAAACAATGCTGTATGAATAACCTCCTAAGGAGGTTAGCGTAGAATCATTTGTACAGAGATGGATGGGAAAGCAAAAGGACTCTCGAGGGCGAAGGAGCCTTAGGGAGAGACCTGATTACGGGCTCCCAGCCTGGCCTTAGCCCATCTTCCCCTAATTCTGTGCCCACCTAGCCTCCTCCTCCTGCCTCCTCCTCTCTATCCTGAGCTCCTGGTATCTCCAGACAGGAAGGGCTAGGCTTCGATTCTCTCGAGGCCTGGGCTCCAGCTTGTACTGTGTGGGAGATGACGATGCCTTGGAGAGGCGGATCTTGGGGGCTTGGGGCCTGGGGCTGCTACTGTCCCTGGGCTGTAGCCACTGAGGGCACATACTCAGCATGCCCTGACGGCTCTGGTAGGGGATGAGGACCCGGGAGCCAGGGACTACCTGGGGGGGCTGAGGGACTGGGGGAGGGGGCGGGGCAGTGCCTAGCAGCTCTGGCACAGACTTGCTGCGGGTGCCCAGCGCAGGTGGCTGCTCAGGGCACAGGGTGTGGCAGGCCGTGGTGAGGAAGGGACTGGCCAGGCTGGTCGTGATGGTCACGAAGTGGTCCAGGACACCACCCTCCTGAGGAGACTGGGCAAAGGGGAGGCTCAAGGTGGCCTGCAGTCGCTCTAGGAGAGATGGGGTGGCCTGGGCCTGGGCCTGGGCCTGAGCCACAAGCCCAGGCAAGGCTGGCCACTCGGGTTGGTAATGCTGGCTCAGCTGCTCTATTTGGGGGCGCCGCAGTAGCATCCGGATCCTCTGCACGGTGTCAAAGCTGTCAGTCAGCAGTGCCCACTCTAGGGCTGTCTTGCCCCGAACAGGATCCACCGCTGTCAGGTCAGCACCTGGGAGGGGGCACAGGAGTGACAGGGGATGGGACAGGGATTGGTGACTTGCAGAAGGGCAGATTCTTTTTTTTTGAGAGAGAGAGAGCATGAGCAGGAGGAGGGACAGAGGGAGAAGCAGGCTCCCCGCTGAGCAGGGAGCCCGATGCGGGGCTCGATTCCAGGACCCTGAGATCATGACCTGAGCGCAAGGCAGGTGCTTAACAGATTGAGCCATCCAGGCGCCCCAGAAGGGCAGATTCTTTTGCAGCAGGACTGATTTGGGTTAGATTAAAAACCACAGAGTCCCATCCTGTTGCAGCTGGAATCTGGGAGCTGTCAGCGGATACAGCCTCAGGACAGTACCAGCCCCAGATGCCAACATCTGTTTAAGGCTAAAGAAGAAGGGGCACCCGGGAGGCTCAGTCAGTTAAGCGTCTGCCTTCAGCTCAGGTCACGATCTCAGGGTCCTGGGATTGAGCCCCACGTCGGGCCTCTCCCTCTGCCTGGCACTCCCCCTGCTTGTGCTCTCCCTCTCCATCTCTCTCTCTCGCCCAAATAAATAAATAAAATCCTTAAAAAAAAAAAAAAAGACTAAAAAGGAAAATGGAAAGTCCAGAGAGTGGAAAAGACTTGAGAGACCTGGCCGGGGGCGGGGGTGTGTGTGTGTGTGTGTGTGTGTCTCCAAACCTGGAGCAGAATAGGGACCTCCTGAGCCAAGGAAGGAGCGGTGGGCAGGTTGCCCAGGACAGGGGAGGCCCGAGCTGCACCTGCGGGGCAGGTGGAGGGGGATCCTGCGGGCCCTCACTCATTCTTCTCTTCATCACCACACCCCTCTAATCTGGGGTAGGGGAATAGCAGTCACTTTGGGATAAAGGGAGGTTGCTGAGTTTTCTCCTTTCTCACCCCAAACACAGTCAGATGGGATAGGGAAAAGAAGAGTTTGGAGGCTGAGGTTCCCCAGGGTGACCAACAGATAGCAACCCCACCTCAGGAAATAGTGAAGGCCCAAGACTTCATGAGCAGTGTAGACTTCACTCCGGAACAACTCCAGGTGGCCACATGCCTCAACTACATATCATCGCGTCCCTGGAACCCCGGCTTGTCAGAAACGGAAGTCATCCCAGAGAAAGCCAACACCCTCATTATACCGCTAAGGCCCAGAGAGGGAGGGTGTCTGCCCAGGGTCACTCAGCTAGTGGCAGAGCCGGGAGTAGAACCCAAGAGTCTGGTTCCAGAGATCAGCGGTTTTTGTTTTTCCAGTTGGTCTAGGTTATCCTCCCAAGCTTTCTTTTCTGAGACCAACATTCATAGTGTCAACAGAGATATCAACAGCTGGACTTTGTTGACTGTGAGAAGCTCAAGCACACTCCCCTCCTCCAGGAAGTCAGCCTAGATTGGTCCTCAATCTCCACCTCTCTTCTCTCTGCAACCATACAGCTGACTTAGTGTCAGGCTGGAAGACTTGGGGAGGGACTGGAGGTCGCAAATCCCAGTCCAGGCCCCATGCACCTGCCATGAGGAGGGCAGCCACGCATTCCGAACGGTTCCGCACGGCGGCCTTCATCAGTGCTGTTAGTCCCCGCTGGTCTCGGCGCTCCAGGTCCAGGCCCGGATAGTAGTTGAGCAGGAGACTCACCAGAGGCACATGGCCTGCAGGGCACCAAGCACAGAGCTTAGCTGTCCCCAAAAGAGGGTGATGAAGCCCCAAACCCACCCTCCACCAAACACAACAGTCCCTGTGGTGGGAGAAAGTTAGACAGAAAGTATGGGATTGTGACCCTGTCTGAAGTGGGGAAAACTGGTGGAAGGTAAGGTCAACAGTCTCTCACCTGCTTGGGCAGCCAGCATGAGGGCTGTGTCCCCTTCTTTATCCTGCTGGTTCACATCGAGGAAAGGGCAGCGGCTGAGCAGAGCCACCACACTCTGGAAGCCACGGTAGCAGGCAACCATGAGACCTGTCTAGGGGAGGGGCAGCTCAGCCCCTACGCTTTTTTCCAGGATCTCCTTGGGACCCCTGTGGGGCCCTCTAAACCTACATCCATCCCAGAGATGTCCCAGCCTCTGTTTAGACCCACCCTCACCCCCTCCCTTCCTCCCAAGGATCCAGGCATTGGATGAACGTCCTGTGGCAGGGACACAGTTGCTCTAGCTGCCCTGGGAAACACCTGGGGTAGCTCACCCTCCCGTTTCCATCCACCTGGGTGGCCTCTTCTGGGGAGACCCCACCATCCAACGTGGCTTGGAGCTGGACGGGGTCATTGCAGACACAGGCCCAGTACAAGGCCCCCAGCCTGCAGCCTGGGGCAGGGGGCTCCTGGCCGGCAGGGCAGGACGATGTCTCAGACATGCCCAGCCCTCCCCTGTGCGCTCTTCCTCGTCCAGCCCGGGAGGGGGCAAGAAGGCCTGTCCCTCCGCCTCACACGGCTGGCATCTATAACACAGAATGGAGGGGAACAGTGTCTCCCTGCATCCCAGGGAAGGGTCCCAGCAGCCCACCCACCCAAGAGAAGACAAGCTGTGGGCAGGAGCCCTAAGACGGCTGAAGTGGTTCGCTGTGAGGATCCCAGTTAAGAGTCAAGGAGGGGGCGGTCTTCTCTTTCCCAAGGGACCTTACCCGGGTGTGGAGGCTCCCTAGGAGGCGGTCACTGCCGGGGCCCACAGCACCCCCCAGACTCCTGCGAGCACACTCGCCGGATCTCCGGGGCGGCCCGAGGTGGACTCTCTCTCCCCAGGAAGCAAGGCAGGTAACAGATGGCTGGACTTAGGGAAAGAGCTGCTGCAAACACCCAGCGGCTGAGCTGGATCAAGCTGGGTCAATAGCGGACGCGGGCCGACAGGGGCGGGAGCTCTCCTCTCCCAGAGACCGGGACCCGCCCGAGAGCCTGCCCTAAGTGGGCGGGGCCCGATCACGGAGGCTCCTCCCCTGCGGAGGCTGCTCTGGGGTACGACCCCCCCCCTCGCAACACGCTCACCTTCTGCTTCCCACACCAGAAACACACCCTTCGGAGGTGGGAGGGTCGTGAGGGGTCCCGACCCGCCCGCGTAAGCCTGAAGTCCTTAAGTCCCTTTCCCTTCGGTGGAGCCGGGGTGGTGGAAGGAAAGGGTGCGAGTGCAGACATCTCTTTGAATAGGGGCTGGGACTGGGGGAGGTGAATTGCTTAATTAGGAGTACAGAAATTATGATAGAATAAGTTTCATGGACTAGTCTTGGTATGGTAAATTAAGTATGGAATATTTAAATTGCATTAAAATTACAATAATTGAATTAAATTATTTATAATTATTTATTAATGATAATTATTAAACCACCCTTTAAATTAAATTAATGCTAAAATTAAATTTACTGACTCAGTTTTGGGCCAACCGTGTTCTGTTTGTATCCCTCCCACCATCAGCATGTACAAGATCTTTTTTTATTCTACTTTATTTGGCTTATCTTTCATCCCCAATCCCCACAGCCCATTTTTCTCCTCTTTCCCTTTACCAATTGGCACTTATATATTCTTAAAAATGTACATTGCATTAAAAAAGGTAGTGTTGGGGCGCCTGGGTGGCTCCGTCGTTAAGCGTCTGCCTTCGGCTCAGGTCACGATCCCAGGGTCCTGGGATCGAGCCCCGGCATCGGGCTCCCTGCTCGGCGGGAAGCCTGCTTCTCCCTCTCCCACTCCCCCTGCTTGTGTTCCCTCTCTCGCTGTCTCTCTCTGTCAAATAGATGAATAAAATCTTTTAAATAAATAAATAAATAATAAAAAAGGTAGTGTTGATTCATGTATTTTTTTAAATCAGTTTCAGAGGTAGAGTTTAGTGATTCATCCCTTACATATAACACCCAGTACTCATTACACCAAGTGCCCTCCTTAATGCCCATCACCCAGTTACCCCATCCCCCCACCAACCTCCCCTCCGGCAACCCTCAGTTTGTTCCCTAGAGTTAAGAGTCTCTTATGGTTTGTCTCCCTCTCTGATTTCGTCTTATTTTATTTTTCCCTCCCTTCCTCTTTGTGATTTATGTATGTTTCAAACAGCACCCTAGAATCGTGTGACAGAACTCATTCTGCTTTTTTCACTCCGTGCTGTTTCAGAGATGGCCCCCTGTTGCTTTCTGTGCAGTGTATCTGTTAGGAGTGTGTTTGGTTCTAAGTAACCGAAAGCAGGCCTCAGTGGTGTGGTGGCTGCCAACATCAATCCCAAACTCCTTTTAGTGTTTCTTCTGAACTACAGAAGCTGGAATACCAAAATGACACTTCCTCGATTCCCTTGAGCTAGGAATCTGATTTAGGTTCTGCTCTTGTGCAAGATGTACATTTGGAAAAGAGCTGAATACCATGGGACATCTGTTTTGCTGTCACAGATCAGGACAGATGTAGCGGGGCTCTGGTGAGCAGCTTCCTGATTCATCAGCTTCCTCTAGGAGTGACTGTTGCTTCCCAGTCACAGGCAGAGGTCATGTGCTTCTCAAAGCTGGGAGTTGTTTCTGAACCTAGAACCTGTTTCCCCATTCCTTTATGTCTACACTAGCCAGATCTATTTCTGTTGCCCCCTGTGGAACCCTAACTGCCACAAGTGGCTTAACCAAATAGGGGTTTATTCTTCACACAAGATTAAGAAGTTCAGGGATAAGCTGCTGGTGTTGATATAAACTGATGATGGCAGGGCCTTCTCTGGGAGTCTCTTGACTTTTCCTCATGGCCGCAAGATGGCTACTGTACCTCTAGCCATCACAGTAAAATGCGGTGAATGCATGCTGTGGAATTCTGTGCAGCAATTAGAAGAAATCTACTAGATTACATGTTAGACATCACTAGTGAGATGACACAATCTCTACCTATGACCCCCCCCCTTCTCTCTAGTCACGTTTTAGTTAAGTGTGACCTTGTAACACAGTTTTGGCCAGTGAAATGCAAGCAGTAGTCTAATGGGTGAGGTTCCTGGAAAAATTTTTGCTCTCTTGATAAAAGATATGGGGCATAGCTTTTTACTTCTTTCTTTCTTCCCCCTCTTCCTGCTGCATGAAGTTCCATAGTGTGCATGCATCAGATTTTCCTTATCTAGTCTTCCAGGGTTGCACACCTAGCTGCCTCCGACATCCTGCCACTACAAAGAATGCTGCAGTGAACATCCTTGTACACGTCTAGTGGACCTGTGACAGAGTGTGTCTGAGACTGCTAGGTCAGAGGGCACGTATATGCTTACTGACCAGGTACTGTCAGATTGTTCTCTCTTTTGCAATGTGCCCACCAGCAATGCGTCAAAGCCTCCCTACATCCACGGCCATGCTTGTAATTATTCAGCCTTCTAATTTTTGTCGATCTGATCGTACAGAACTATAAGTTAATATCATTATTTTACACTGGATTTTTCCTGATTATCAACAAGGTGAGCATCTTTCCAAATACCTGGTAGCCTTTCTTGTGTCCCCTCCTGGAAACTGCCTGTTCCTAGCCTTTGTCCGATGTTCTGTTGTTTTCCTATCTTTTTCTTATTGCTTTTTCAGGAATTCCTTTTAATATTCTAGATAATAAACCCATTGTCAAATGGGTTTTAGATGTCACAACTGTACTATGTACATTTCTGTTAGCTTTATCTGTGGTGAGCTTCACTGAAAGAAATCCTGAATTTTGGGTGCCTGGGTGGCTCAGTTGGTTAAGCGTCGGCCTTTGGCTCAGGTCACGATCCCTGGGCCTTGGGATGGAGCCCCGCATCAGGCTCCTTGCTCAGCAGGGAGCCTGCTTCTCCCTCTGCCCCTCCCCCTGCTCTTATGTATAGGTATGGATTTCTAATTATCTTTCTTTGGATTTTTTGTATCTATCCTGCTTTTGGATCTATAAATTGTTGTCCTTCATTGATACTGGAAAATTTGGGAATCTATTAAATTCACCTTGGTTCTGTCAAAGATAAAGACTGGATATTGTGGGGCACCTGGCTGGCTCAGTTGGAAGACCACGAGACCCTTGATCTCAAGGTTGTGAGTTCAAACCCCGCCTTGGGTATAGAGAGTACTTAAATAAATAAAACTTAAAAAAAAAAGACTGGAAATTGAAACTCAAGTTTGCCTAATTCAACAAATATTTTCACACTAAAGCAGACTCCTTGATTTGTTTCCTTGTCTGAGATCCTGCCTTCCCTTAGATTTTAACCTAATAAATTCCTTTTTTATTTTTATTTATTTTTTTTAAAGATTATTTATTTATTTATTTGACAGAGAAAGACACAGTGAGAGAGGGAACACAAGCAGGGGGAGCGGGAGAGGGAGAAGCAGGCCAGCAGGCCTCCGGAGGAGCAGGGAGCCTGATGCGGGGCTCGATCCCAGGACCCTGGGATCATGACCTGAGCCGAAGGCAGACGCTTAACGACTGAGCCACCCAGGCGTCCCATAAATTCTTTTTTTAAAAAAAGGTTTATTTATTCATTTTAGAGAGAATGAGAGATTGCAGGCATGTGCCTGGGGGGGGGGTAGGGAAGGGGTGGAGGGAGCAGAGGCAGAGTGGGAGGGAGAGAAAAACTCAAGCCGACTCCATGCAGAGCATGGAGCCTGATGTGGGGCTGGCTTCCATGACCCTGAGATCACCACCTGAGCATTTTTACTGTTTTACTCAGAAATATCAGTCCAGAGTCCAGCCAGTCATGTTACTGGAAACAGAATTTCCTCTAAACCTAATTAATTAAAAAACAACCTGCTAGTAATATGGGGAAAAGACATGGTAATTAATTCATAGAAGAAATGGCCAGTAAACATATGAAAAGATGCTTAATCTCACAAGTAAGCAGGAAAAGGCAAATTAAAACAATAATGAAACATTGCTTTTGGCCCATCAGCTAAGCAAAAATCAAACATCAATAATATTAAGTGCTTACACTGTTGGGGAAATGTAAATTAGTGAAGTATTTTTGGAAAGCATTTTGACAGTATCTATCAAAATAACAAATGTACATACACATGAACCCAAAAATTCTGCTTTTAGAAATCTTTCCCAAAACAGTACTTGCATCTGTGAACAAAGATACACTGTATATACTTTGCAGCATTGTTTGTAATTGTAAAAAAAGAAATTTAGAAATGACTTAAATGTTCATCAATAGAAGAAGGGCCTGAAAAAAAAATGCACATGAGATTATGCCTCCATTGAAAAATAATAACATAGATCCATATGGACTGCTTGGAAAACATCTCTGAGACATGTTGTTAATTGAAGAGAAAAAAGCCATATATATATATATATATATATATATATATATATATGTACATAGATATATGAAGTGTGTGTGTGTGTGTGTGTGTGTGTGATTGGTTAACTTCCATGTATGTAAATGCATAGAAAGGACTGGAACAGTAGTTGTCAACATTGGCTGCACCATGTAATCACTTAATCACTTAAAAAAAATAGTAGCGGGGAGCCTGGGTGCCTCAGTCGGTTAAGCATCTGACTCCTGTCGGCTCAGGTCATGATCTCATGGGGCACTCAGTGGGGAGTCTGTCTGGGATTCTCTCCCTCTACCCTTCCTCCCACTTGCTCGTGCATGTAGTGCAGGTGCATTCTCTCTCTCTCACTCTCAAATAAATAAGTCTTTAAAACAAAACAAAACAAACAAGCAAACAAAACAGTAGGGGCACCTGGCTGGCTTAGTCGGTTGAGCGGCTGACTCTTGGTTTCCACTAGGGTCAGGATCTCAGGGTCCTGGGAACGAGTCCTGAAGTCCAGCTCGACACTCAGCAGGGAGTCTGCTTGTGGATTCTCTCTCCCTCTCTCTCTCTCTCAAATCAATCAATCAATCAATCTTCTTTAAAAATAATAAAACGAAACAAAAC